ATGGCTGTCAACCTCATTTTGTTCGAGGGTCTGGGTCGCCGGGAGCACACATACAAGCAATCACGTCGTATTAACTACAAACCCGATTCGCTGCGTTGACAGTCTGAGTAAATTTACACATTTTAGACTTTTGATTAATGTTCAAGATCATCATTAAAAAAAATCGTTAAAATTTTAATACAAAATTTTTTTGTAAATAGTGTGCAATTTGGAATTTTCTAAATAATTTGCATGCGAAATTTGAAAACGATTGTAACGTCAAACACATCTCGTGTTGACATTTATACGTGTGAATTGACATGTTAGTTACATTTTAGTGGCTACACGGGCTCTGCCGTTCTATTATGTATGTATTTTAGTATTCTACGGTCTTAGTGGAGGAATTTCGTCATAATCGCCACGCTTGGCAGGCAAGTTGATATTTACATTTTTTAATTATTTTGAGTTGTTATTAGGAAGACGCTGCTGGCCACCTCGTTTGTTACCCCCTGGCGCCTTTTACGATAGCCACGGGACAATATAGGGTAGTGGAAATTCTTACTTCGCCGCTAAAAGGTATAGTATTATAATACTATTTATGTTTCCGGCTGTCACTAAGTTTATTTCGGAAAATGTACAACTGAGTGGCTTTATTGATCTCTGGTAGTATTACCCTGTTTTTGTGTAATATGCAATTTTGATTTTGAATAAGAGGAGAACAAAAATCACACACCTTATTTTTATATTTTAAAATATCTATAGTTATCTATAAGCATACGTTAGTAAAAGATAGCAAGATTTGTACTGTGGCTGGGTAAAACATACAAGTGTACTGCCCAGAAGTTAGGCAACCATAGAAATAATACACAATAGAATGGCTGTCAACCTTATTTCGTACGAGGATCGGTGTCGCCAGGAGCGCACATACAAGCAATTACGTCGTATTATCACTACTACAAACCCGATTCGCTACATTGACAGACTGAGCGAATTTACACATTTTAGACTTTTGATTAACGTTTTTGACACAATATTTCATTATTTTTGTTTCTAATATTCACAAAATATAAATAGTTTCGACTTACTAGCTGTAGAATATGTCTCCTTTATTTAAATTCCATATCCCACTGTTCTTTCAACACATAATTATTGCACAATTCCCCATTTTTTAAATATTGTGCAAACGTGACGCTTGACACGAAAATTGGAAACGATTGTGTTGACATTTATAGGTGTGAATTGACATGTTAGTGGCTACATGGGCTCCACCCACTCCCCCGTTCTATTATATATGTATTACAGTATTCTATGTAGGCAACATTGTTTTGGGTGTATATATTATATATGTGATAGAACCAAGCTACAGCTACATTATGATTGTAGCACAAAAGGATCAGCTACCACATGAACATCGGCCACTGCAATAACTTGGTATGGTGGGTGTAAATTTTTAAGGTAATTGAAAAAATTGCCTCAATACTGATTTAATGATAAAAAATTCAGTCCAGAAACAAACCGATACAAACTAAAGAAAGATAATCAACAATTACATGTTGTAGAGCCACGCTGCAGCTATTTTATGGTTGTAGCACAATTGAATAGTCTGGACGGGGGTAGAACTACGCTTTCACAATATACCAACGTAAAATTGCAACTTAATACTGTGTTTCATATGGTGAGTATAGAGAACCGGAAACCCTTTTTACTGGAAACGAGGTATTCCATCTTCGTCTTTGGGTGACAACGAATTTGCATCTTGATTCGTAAAAGGAGATAAATGTCGACGACTAAGTGCCACAGCAACCACTTTCCATCAGGAGGGCTGTGGGCTCGTTTCTCACCCTATGGTCTTAAAAAAATTCAGGAAAGACATGTCTTTTCATTAGATTACATCACATGAAGTATGCGATATGATGTATGATAGAGGAATAGATGTGTTATGCGTAAATGAGACGAAAAGGAAGGGGAAGGATGTCACTACACATGGCATGTATACCGCATACTGGTCTGGTGTAGACGAGATCGAGCGGGCATGCCAGGGAGTAGGTACCATCCTTTCAGAAAGAATGGGCCAATGTGTGAAAGAGTATGAATGTGTAAGCCCAAGACTGCTATGGATACGAATGAAAGTGGGCTTAAAGAAGTTATTTGTGTTAAGGGTCTACGCCCCGGACATGTCTAAGCCCACTTATATCCGAGAGCAGTTTTGGGAAATGGTAAGGATGGTGTTAATGAAGTGTAAGGGAAATGAAAATATTATTATGCTAGGAGATTTTAATGGAAGGGTTGGGGTCAGGAGGCTTGGTTATGAAAGGATATTGGGAACGTTTGGTGATGAAAGTATAAATGAGAATGGTGAAAGTCTCCTCACCGTATGTATGGAAAAGAATCTTTTTGTGACGAACACTTGCTTTCGCCACAAGAGGATTCACATGTATACTTGGGAAAGAGGTGACGATAGAAGCATGATAGATTTCATAATTGTGTATGAAAGGTTGAGGGGCGCAGAGGTAGATACGAGAGTTTACCGGGGTTCTAACGTAGGAACGGATCATTATTTAGTTTTATGCCGAATTAATGGTCTATTCAGGCGTTGGCGCCATCGATCGTCTGTGTCTACCACTGCGTTACAGCGTATTAGAACAGAAAGGTTACAAGATAAAAGTGATAAAAACAAGTTTAAATGTAGACTGAAAGAAAATATAACTAGTTTGGATGAATTATGTATGAAGGAGTTAGACTTGGAGAATATATGGCAAAATGTAAAGAAAGGTTTAGTGGATGCAGCTATTGAAGTATGTGGTGTTAGTAAGAGAAAGAATGAAAGGGAAAATAATACGTTATGGTGGGATGATGAGGTACGTATGGAAGTTGAAGCAAAGAAGAGAGCATGGGTAGATTTACTAGCAACAAAGGCTGGTAATTCTGACAGTACGAATGATGATATTGAAAGTAAAAGGGCAGTCTTTAGACATCTTAATAAGAGAGTAAAAGAAGTAGTTGAAAGAAAAAAGCAAGAAAGAACGGATAAGAATGATAGAAGAATATCGGATAACTTCCAGGCAAATATCAAAATGTTCTGGAAACTTGTAAGAACTGCCAGGGGACATTCAAAACAGCCTATTATGAATGCTATAAGAGACGAGAATGGCGATATTCTGAATGATGAAATTTTGAGTTTAAAGAGATAGAAAGAATATTTTGAAAGCGTGTTTATGAGTGAGGAGACAACGTGTGTACTAAGTGAAGTAGAAACACCGAAAGAAGAGGAAAAGGATAGCGAGATAAGTACAGATGAAATAATGAAAAGCATGAAAGCAGGTAAGGCTGCCGGATATGATAGAGTTTCACTCGAAATGCTAAGTGCTGGAGAGGAAGTGGTGGCAGGCCTGCTACACACCTTGTTTAATTTATGCTGGGAACTGAAGCGAGTACCGGTAGACTGGTGCAAAACCGTGATAGTCCCAGTATATAAAGGAAGAGGGTCGCAGCGGGACTGTAAAAACTACCGTGGCATCAGCCTTCTTAGCATTGTGGGAAAACTGTATGCTAAGATACTGATTGAAAGGGTCATGAAAGAAACTGATGGAAAAATTTGGGATGTGCAAGCGGGATTTAGAAAGGGAATGGGATGTACAGATCAAGTCTTTTCCATGCGCATGATCGCGGAGAAGTTTCTGGCCAAAAACCAAAAGGTTTTTTGTGCATTCATGGACTTGGAAAAGGCCTATGACAGAGTGGATAGGGATTTGCTATGGCAAACACTAAACTCATTTGGGTTGAGCGCTGGCTTGATACAGGCATTGGAGTCTCTTTATAGGGACTCTAGTGCTTGTGTTAGGATCAACGGGGTCTACTCGGACTGGTCTGACATCCATAAAGGTGTCAGACAGGGCTGTGTGGCTTCCCCATGGCTGTTCAACCTATTTATGGACAGTTGTTTACAAAATTTGAAAGTTGAAGAATGCGGGTTAAGAATGAGTGAGTTAGCGGTCAAATGCCTTTTGTACGCCGATGATCAAGTCATTCTTGCGTCGTCGGCGGCCGAGTTGCAAATGATGGTTACATTAATCAACGGGTCATTAAAAGAAAGGGGTATGAAAGTGAACGCAAGTAAGACGAAAGTGATGGTTTTTGAAAGAGATGAAAGTAAAACGGTTTGTGAAATAAGAATAGAAGGGGAGTTGATCGAGCAAGTGGATGAGTTTGTATATTTGGGCTGCGTATTTAGCAGGGATGGGAGATATGATAAGGACATTGAACGACGAGTGAATGCGGGAAATAGAGTAAATGGGGCCCTGCACTCTATTGTGAAGAGTCAGAATGTGTCGAAAAAAGGCACGTATGGCAATTCACAATGCTGTGTTGGTCCCTACTTTAACATATGGTAGTGAAAGTTGGGTGTGGCAGAAGAAGCACGAGAGTAGAATAAACGCAGTAGAAATGCGGTCGTTAAGGAGTATGTTAGGGCTGAATCTGAATGACAGGGTAAGAAATTGTGTAATACGAGAAGAGTGTGGTTTGCAAGATGATGTTGTGACCAGGATTAAGAAAGGAATGCTTCGGTGGTTTGGTCATGTGGAAAGAATGAATGAGGAAAGAGTGACAAAGAAAATTTATGTTGCAGAAGTGAATGGCAGAGTCGGAAAGGGACGTCCTAGGTGAAAATTTATCGACCAAATTGGCGATTTATTGAAAACGGGCCAAATTAGGAGTACCCTTAACCGACGAGCATGTATGCGTACGCATGTAGGTGTATGGATGTGATGGAGGCGAGAGAGGTGTGTCAGGATCGTGCCAAATGGAAGTCTGTAGTCTCTGCCTACCCCTCTGGGTGACAGGCGTGAGTGTTTATGTTATGTTATTACCATCACAATAGGATAAGCAATTAAGTGATTATATCCAGTTCAGGTTTTTTAGGGTAAAGAACAGAGATAGACATCGAGGATGTGTATCATTAAGCATATGGGGGTGTAAAATCAAGAGTTTATGGCTGCTAGAGCAATTCAGATGAGGAAATATTAAGTTCTCTTATTTGAAGTAGACCTAGGACATTTATAGAAATATTTAGACACAAAATCTTTATAAGTGTCACTAAATGATGCAGGTCCAAGTTTCTTTTCTTTAACTTTCGAAGGTTCTGATTCTGAAACCTGTCCAATCCTTTTGGAACTTGCGGCCATTTGCGAGTTTGGTGGTAAGGGTGATGCCACTTGTCCAATATTCTTAGCATTTACAACACTGCTTGTTATGTTTTGTCTAATTTCTCTGCCTGCAACACCAGCTGCCGCGTTCGACGTGTTTAAAAGTGGTGCTGCTGGTACATATATGATATCTTTGCCAGCAACAACAGGTGGCACGTTTAAAGGTAGTGCTTGCACATACATGTCTTTGCCAAATTCTTTGCAAACGACGACTGACATGTTTGACGGATTCTGAGAAACTGGTGCCCGCACATATCCGATTTCTTTAGTATTCACAGTTGAAGTCATATTAGAAGATGTTTCTAGCGTCGAACTGTTTAATATTTTTCCCATATTAAGTTCTATTTTGCTGTTCAGTTCACTTTGTGTTTTACTCATGACTGGTTGTGTTAAATTAAGGCATTCGTTAAATTTATTTGGGGCATTAAGCATGGACGTCAAAATCAAATTTTTCGGAATTGGCTCATCTTGGTCGGCGAGTTTATGTGGTGTATTAAAACATCTGCTAATTATATTTGGGTCATTGAAGACAGACATCAACATTACATTTTGTGGAGATGGCATACTCTGATCGGTCTGTTTACATGATGGTGATCCAAATTGTCTCAAAATGGATGGATTCGTTGATTCATTAGGAAATAACAATGTATTATTTTCTTTACCTTGGTTATTCCCAAGGTTTCCAAGCTCCCAAATTATATTATTCTCTATAACCTTATCCATGAACGAAGAACTTAAGTCTGTATCCTCTATATAATTCTTCAACACAGTAGTCATTGCCAGAGCTCTACCATACAAAAGTTTAAGCGCTTCAACATTTAATTTACCAGCATTCACTACAATACTCTCCATGAGCCTTTGAAATTGGAAATACAGATCCTTTTTATTTACATTTGGTTTATCTATTGCTGCATACACATCTGTATTTTGAAGTAATGACGTTAGTGAATATTTCTTATATTTCTCGGCTATAACATAGAGTTCACAAACGTGACCATAATGTTCTTTATAGAATCGAACTTGTAAACCTTCAGAGAACTTTTGAACAGAAATTGTGGCAGGGCAGCAGTATATCGTGTTATCATCGTAAAAATTACCATCATGCGGTGAGAATGTGCAATGGTAGATTTCCTTCGACCTATATTTTTCTAGTAAAGCATACTTGACTTTCGTTTTCTTCTCCACTCCCCCTTTCCAAGCAAGAAATTCTGTAAATCAAACACAGTCCTTTTAATATGGTATTATTACTTTTATAGAACTATAATATTCGACCCCAAAATAACCAACAAGATAATATTATAAATAATAGGGTTGCTAACCCTAGCTTCAAGTGCAAGCACCAACACAGAGACACTAACACATATTAATAACAAGAGAAAGTGGCAAAGCAGATAATTTGTACCACAGCCTGTGTCGTCGAACTCACAGATTAACAAGGAAAGAAACTACTGACAGTTGTGCAATATTCAAAATTTCTACTTGCCTGGCTATTAGAAAATAATATAATAATAATAGAATGGGCCCAGAAGTCTTTACATGGAAGCACTATCAAGATCTAAACATACCACACGTCGACAGGTCAGCATCGAACGAGTAGCTTAAGCGTGGAATACTGTTATTCTTTTTTTTATAGGATAGGGTGACAAACGAGCACACATTCCATTTGATGGTAAGTGGTTGCTGCGGCCCATACACATCTACATCTATCCTCGATTATAAATCAAAATGCAGATGCGTTGTCACCCGTGAGGACTAAGATGGAATGCCTCGTTTCCAGTAAAAAGGGTCTCCGGTACTCTACACTCACCATACGAAACACCGCAGCATTAAGCTACTATTTTACGCTGGTATTCTGTGAGAGCGTGGTCCTTCCCCGGTCGAGCCGAACCATTCGTGCTACAACTATACTACTAATATAACTGCAGCATGGCTCTACCACGTATAGACCATTACCATGTATAGACCATATTCAGGACCAGGTTATAGTTACTTGGAAAACATATAATGAAAATCCCGAATACTACAGATGTTTGTCGTAAATGTAATACAACATAATAACACATAGGGCAAGGATACCAAATATGAAATAGTTAGGTTTTGGCGGAACTAATCGCCGCAGCCATTTGGCACTACTGTCACTTGTAGCCACGTGGCAAAATATCGAAACGTGTTTTAGTGCTTCCCAGTCCGAGGCGAAGTTAGGTTCTGTACGCGCTGGTTTTCACGAAACCACAAAACCAAATTTTTGTCATCAAATGTTTACAAGGTATGTTACAACCGTATTAATTACACTAAATGATTTTATTTTAGTCATTGTGTCAATTAAAATATGAACTTTATGATACATTCGCAGTTTTGTTGCATTTTCTTTACTAAGAAATAATAGGCAGCCATTTAGTTGTATATAGATGTTTTCCTAATATGAGACACGCGGGGGCTCCTAAAATGAGATATCTCATATTAGGATATATAAAAATATGACTATACGAAAAATCCTTTTTTCTAGATCGATCAAAAGGAAATCCTAGGACCACGATGCTATGATTCGGGCCGTGAATGTAGTGCGAAGCAAGGATTTGGGTTACTTAAAAGTGTCAAAACATTTCGGTGTATGTCAAAAAAAATGCCAATGCAAAAGTAGTTGTCAAGGTTCATTACGAGGGCGGCACTGAAAATTTCGGGAATCCAGGAAGTGACACAACATTACTATTTAAAAATATAGTTATTGCTTTTGGAAGTATTCTCCCCGAAATTTGACACATTTTTCCTTACGATGGAACCAATCATTGAAGCAACCATTCTATTCGGAAGTTGGGGGTCTCCAAAATGGCCGTTTTGTAGGCGTCCACAGCTTCTTCAGGTGATGAAAATGTCTGTCCACGCAATTTATTCTTTATTTTAGGGAAAGTATAGAAATCATTAGGGCTTAGGTCGGGGCTGTACGGCGGATGGTCCAATAATTCTTTGTTTTCTTGCCCTAAAAACTCTTTTTGTTCTGTGTGCGGTGTGAGAACTCGCATTGTCGTGATGGAGGATGATGCGGCGCTTGCAGTTCTCTTTACGGAGTTCAGAAACGACCTGTGGCAAACAAATGCTGGCATACCATTCTGCATTAACCGTTCTTTGTCCCTCAAGAGGAATAGTCGTAACATGGCCGGTTTTGGAGACAAACGTGGCCACAATTTTTTTTTTGCAATACTCCGTGAACGAACAATTTTTGTTGGCTTTAACTCATTTTCGAACACCCAAACTCGTGACTGGTTTTTTGTTTCGGGTTCGTACGCGTATATCCAGGATTCGTCACCTGATACGATGTTGTATACAGCATTTAAGGATTCTGCGTGGAATCTTTCGAGAGTTCTGACGCACCAAGTAACGCGAGCCGCTTTTTGCTCTTCACAGCGCGAATGCGGTATCCATCGGGAAAACAACTTTTTACACCCAATTGTCCATGCAAGATTATTTGTATTTGACTCATGCCAATGTCATAAGTTGCCTGAATTTCGCGGTATGTCACATGTTGATCTTCCTCAATCAGTTTACGCACAGCATCAACGTTTTCTCGGGTGACTGCAGTTTTTGGACGACCTTGACGGGGATCATCACTGAGCTTGACACGTCCACGTTGAAATTCAGCAAACCAGCGATAAATTGTGGTTTTGGATGGGGCTTCATCTTCAAATGCAGAAATCATCCGGTCAACACACTATTTTTGTGTTAAACCACTTCGAAAGTCATAATAAATCATCGCTCTTGAATTTTCTCGAGTCAATTCCATTTTCTCAACGACTAAACAAGTTTGACAAAACCTTGTGACAAGACCGAGAATCTTTTTTAAATAAATAAATGGTATTCGATTTTTAAAACCAAGGAGTTTTCAATTAAAAAGATTTTAATATGACAGGAACAGTGGAAATATTCCATTCCCGATACTTTTAGTGCAGCCCTCGTATGGGAAGACCTCCAGCTTTGCCTGACCATTTAGCAGCAGAGCTAGAAAAATATTGTAAAAAATTGGACCAACGATTTTATGGGTTAGTTAGGTTTAGGGTAGTTAGGGTCAAGCACGTGGCTTCAGGCACCTCTTCAGTTTGACTAAAGCATCTGCTGGTAAAAAGTAGCTTCGTGGGGTTATGAGCAGACGTCTCTATTTAACAGTTAGAACACCTCAGGCAGTTTCTGCTGCAAGAGTAAAAGGATTTAATCAAATTGCCGAAAAATTCAAAATCAAATTTCTTTGATTTTTATGAACCAGAAATTGATAAAATAAAATCGCTTTCACACCGAGTGTATAACGTCGACGAGACCAGGATAACAGAGGTACGACATAAACGTTACAATGTTATTAACGTGAAAGGGAAAAAGCAGGTAGGCTCACTAAAGTTAACCCCCGAAATTTTTTCATTTTCAAATTTCGTTATCACATATCGTTAGTTCGTAGTTTGTTCTTGATTGTTCTCTATCAATATATAATTGTTTGTTCGTCAAGAATTTATTTATAAAAGTTTACTAGCCCAGAACTATTTTTGAATTCTGATTTTGATTATTTCAAGATATGTTTATGCTGATAAGTCCTTATATCAGTATTGACTAATTTTAGTAAAAAATATTTTTGGTAAGTAGGTATTTTAGGGGTGTTCGAAAACGAAACAACGAGCAAATATCTTACATTCGTTATAGGTAATTAAAACAAAGATGTATAATGAGATTATTTATTACTTATTACTATTTTTACACCAAATTGCAATATAAAATTATGAATGAAATACAGAGAAACATTTAGAATGTAAATATTTACTTTACATTTTTGACAAAAAGTGACTGTAAGGCTTTTGCAATAGGCACATCGCAGTCTACTTGGTGCCCTGCCGATCATGTGCTCAGCGTTATGCTTTCGTACTGATGTAGGTACATTTGTAGATACCTGTTTGCTAGGTCCCGGATGTTGCTTATCATTGCCATATTTTTGAAGTAAGGTTCTGACAATGCTACGTCTAAATTCCAGCGTATCTATATCTTTGGAGAAATTACGAGCTAGTAGGGTAGCATTGTTGACCGCAACGTCTATCAACCAGAAAAATAACGGGATATACCATTTTTTGCCCCTAATTGCTATTCGATAGGTACCAATGTTTACATCTAACCGATCAACCCCTACCAAAAAACGATTGTATTGGTGCACTACGTTGGGTTGTGGTACATTTACTCTTTGATTTTGAGCAGCTGAGTATCTCCTTGCAGTTCGTATAGGCTCCACGCCGTATTCACTGGATAACAGAGTGACTACACTATTATCGTTCCAGCGCACTGCACAGATGCCGCTGTTTAGATCGAGCCGGCTGTCATGGTAACCTCGCTGTTCCTTCTTGCATAATTTTTCATCTTTCAAAGGACACTTGTCAGTGCGATTACTACGTACTGTACCTGTCACTAAAATATTTTTTTCTTTCATTGCCGTTATCAACGGTAATCCTGTGAAGAAGTTGTCGTAGAAAACTGAGAATCTTGTTTCTTTGTAGACATTCTGCATCTCGGTCATCAATTTTTGCACAACATATTGTCCTAACCCGGTACTAAAAGTTTCATAGCGGCCTTGATATGGGTCGGCGTATAAGCAATATCCTAAGGGCAAGGCTTTTTTTTTTTGCGGATGGAAAATACCCCTCTGGGTGAGTAAGGGAGGGGGGGGCGCAATCCATGTTTTGAATTCAAATCTAATAGGCTTACCTCTGATATGCTGCTTACATCCGTGTCTACATAGTAAGGTATCATAGACTCTTCTATGCTGATGTTCTTTTCGATTACGGCATATTGCAGAAACTTTTTATTGAGTAAATCAAAAAGTGGGCGGACTTTAGCCATTTTGTCATTAGGGCAAAGGTTGGTATTATCTACCACATGGAAATGCCGAAGAATTTCTTCGAATCCGTTTCTTCGCATGGATTTCGCCACTAAGATATTGTGTGTGTCTTTGTCATACATCGACGTCGCGGCTGTGGAGAATATCCGGTCAATATCAAAATGCCGATGAAACATATATATGTCATTATCAGAGAGGGTAAACCCTGGGTTTCCTTTTTGAACTGCATAAATAACAGAGTGACGAACAATGTGCATGATAACTTCGTGACTAAAAAACAATTCAAAGAAATCAACTGGTTCTGAAGCTTCGGATAAGGTAATTACTGATCTAGGTAATGGTGCAATC